ACTATGTGCCAGGCCAGGTGCTCTGCAGGGTTAATGCATAGCCTTCATCACACCTTAGTGAGCTTGGTATTAATATCTTCCTTTCCAGTTACATAACCAAGACCAAGTTAATTCCCCCAAGTTCACATGGTCAGAAGGGACAGAGCTGGGGTTTGACCCCTAGTCTGACCCCAAAGGCCATGCTTTCTCCACGGACAGCGAGGTGAAAAGTCCCCAGGACGGCTCTCCCCCGCAGTTGGGCAAACATGGGCATCCCGAGTTTATCCCAAAATTGGCCAGGCAGAATCGGAGCAGTTTTTATGGAGACCAATCCAGCCTTCGCCAGTTCCCATGTAGCAGAAGCAAACGCAGCCTCCCACACATTCCTCAGCTTAGCGGGAAGGCGGGGGAGGTGGCGGCGAGCCCAGAGGGCAATTCAGAGACTTTCAGAGCTGGACAGGCCCTTAGCCATGACCCAAGCCACCCCTTCTCCTCTCACAGAGGGGGAAACTGAGGCCTGGGGAAGGCAAAGGATTTGCTCAGGGCCACACAGGGTGAGGGATGGAATGAGATCGAGGCAGCCTCCTGGCTCGAAGCCCGGGGTCTCCTCCTCCACCCCAGCCTGTCTCAGACAAGCCAGGACACCAGAGCCCCTTCTATCAGATCCAATGAACAGTTATCAGATGTCATTATGCCTCTGCTCAGCAGGAGAGCCAGGGAGAAGGGTCACCCGTTGCCTCCCTGCGTCCGCCGAGTGGGTTGACTGGAGCAGGAGCAGGGGCTGGGCCCCTGTGGCCAGGAGAACCCCCAGTTCCTGGCCCCTTAGAACAAGGACTGCCTCTGTCCTCCAGACAAGGAAGGGTGGGGGAGGGCCACGTGGGAAGAGGCCTGAGTGGGGAGCTAGGGGCTCACTTGGTGGCAGTGCCCCCCCTGCCTTCCACCGACCTGCTGAGCTGCTGGGAACTTGCTCCCATGAGTCTGCCCTTGAATCCGAAGAGTGGGTGTCCCCAGACCCACTCACTGCTCCGAGCCTGGGTCCCTGAGAGACCCCCATCCCCGGGACCTGTCTGGTCTCGGTGGGAGGGTACTCACTTCTGGGAACACACAGACCGGGTTCAAGTCCCTGCTTCCCCGCCTACCGGTCCTGGGACCTCGCCTCTCTGGGTCTCAGCCCCCTGCTCCAGAGCCAGCCTGTGCTCCCAGCTCCCCAGGGCTGTGGGGATTAACTGTCGAGGCCGTCCCAGGCACAGAGGGGCCGGAGACGCTGCCTGGGGAGTTAACTCTCTTCATACTAACTTCCAGCCATGACGGTGATTCACAGCCCTCGGGAGAACAGCCCGTGTCCCCAGGCTGAGTGGCCTATCCACATCTCTTAGAAGCAACCAGATGCCCAGCCCAGCCCAGCCCGAGGCACTGAATGGGAAGGGCCTAAAACCCAGAGCCCACCACGCTGGGTCCTGGCCTTGGCTGCACCATGAGCTCAGCATCTGGGTTAGGATGGTGACTTTGGGTGATGTGAGCTTTCAACTTTCTTTTTTTTTCTTTTTAATATATTTTTTATTGATTTCAGAGAGGAAGAGAGAGGGAGAGAGAGATAGAAACATCAATGATGAAAGAGAATCATGGATCGGCTGCCTCCTGCATGCCCCACACTGGGGACCGAGCCCACAGCCCGGGCATGTGCCCTGACCAGGAATCGAACCGTGACCTCCTGGCTCATAGATCACTGCTCAACCACTGAGTCACGCCGGCTGGGCAGCTTTCAACTTTCTGACTGGTTATTTCAGTGCCACTGACCAGCTGTGTGACCCTGGACACGTGATCTCACCTCTCTGAGCCTCAGCCTCCTCACCTGTGAAGTGGGGTTGTCAGGAGGACGAGAGGGGCGATGGCACGCAGGATGCCTGGCTCGGAGCTTCAGGGAGCGAGTGCCCAATAAACAGCAATGGAGTTATGGCAGCAGCGCTACCAGGCGACATTGTCATGTCATTATTACCAGGAGAGGGAGAGGACAGGACACAATCGGGCCCCCGAAGGAGACACCAGGGACTCTTCCCACCTTCTAGGGGGCAGGGATGGGAATGGGGTCACCCCTGTGAAGACCCCAAAGTCTCACTCTCTGAGGAGACCCAGCCAGGAGGACTGCGGGCACACTCTCAGAGGACCTCAGCCCTTGGGGGCAGAAGATGGGTGGTGGTCCCCAGCTGTGCCTCAGGAGACCCTGCTGATTGGGAGGCCGAAAGCTGGGAAGGCACCCTCACCTCAGACACTTCGTCCCAGAGGTGCCAGGACCCCCCGGAGGAAAAGCCACCAAAAAAAGGGCCCAGAGTGTGGGGCACACTCCTAGGAACCGGGAGGGAGGGCCTGACTCCTGACTCCCTGCCATCTCTGAGCTGTGTGACCTCAAGCAGGTCACCTCACCTCTCTGAGCCTCCTTCCCTTAATTACGAGGATCATTACTATGGAATCACAACTCCTGCCCTGCCGGCTCCCCAGCCGGGGTGAGGCCCATCAGGACCACAGACACGCTCTGTAAACAGTGAAGCACCTTGAGCTGAGGCACTGCCCTTGTTACCGCCAAGGGCCCCTTCACAGCCCGGCAAGGCCAGGTGCGAGGTGTAGCGACGCAGAGGCAGCTCCAGGAGGTGATGATGGGAGAAGAGCTCAGGGCCAGCCCCTCCTGCTCCCTAGGCCGCGCCCACCCACACCTCCTGCCTCCTTTGCCGGGTTGGAGTCCCTGGAAACTCCTGAAGCCAGTGTCTGGGGTTGTCCTTCTGGGCTACTTGCTGTTAAGCCCCCTCCTGTCCCTCACCGCAGATCACCCTGCACGTCATTGACCCTTTGTCCTGCACCTGCCACCGGGGGCAAGTCAGGCAGGCCGTGGTCGGCCACGGAGCTGGAGCAGGTGAGAGGAGAAACGCTTCAAAGGTGACATCTGTGCCCCCAGCACCCTGGGAGGCCGGCCAGAGGTTACACACAGTCATCTAAACGTCTCCCTTACACCCGGCCGGCTGGCTCAGGGATTGAGCATCGCCCTATGAACTGGAGATCACGGTTCAAATCCCAGTCAGGGCACATGCCCGGGTGGTGGGCTTGATCCCCAGTGTGGGGCATGCAGGAGGCAGACAGACAATCAATGATTCGCCCTCATCATTGATGTTTCTATCTCTCTCTCCCTCTCCCTTCCTCCCTGAAATCAACAAAAATATATTTTTAAAAAAATAAAAATAGAAATAGAAATATAAGTGTTGCCAAAGCCGGTTTGGCTCAGCGGATAGAGCGTCGGCCTGCGGACTGAAAGGTCCCAGGTTCGATTCCGGTCAAGGGCATGTACCTGGGTTGCAGGCACTTCCCCAGTGGGGGATGTGCAGGAGGCAGCTGATCGATGTTTCTCTCTCATCGATGTTTCTAACTCTCTATCTCTCTCCCTTCCTCTCTGTAAAAAATCAATAAAATATATTTAAAAAAAAAAAATATATATATATATATATATATATATATATATATATATATATATATATATATATATATATAAATGTTCTCCTTTACAACCTCGGCCTCACCACGCCCAGCCGGACCCCTGCCCTGGTAAATCTTGTCTCCTGGCAGCAGTCACAGGAGGGGGCTAAGGATGTGGTCAGAGTCCAGAACCAGACTTGTCTGGTGTCAAATCTCAGCTCTCCTTTTCGAGCTGTGAATTCTTGAGTAAGTTGCTTACCCTCTCTGTGCCTGTTTCCTCAGCTAGAAACAAGAATCTATACTAATAAAAGGGTAACATGCTAATTAGACCAGATGTCTTCTGGACGTCCTTCCTGACAAAGCTGGGCCGGGCAAAGCTGCCCCGCCCCCCGTCCCAGTCCCAGGTGCCTGTGGCCAGCCAGAGGAGGGGAGCCTGTGTCCCGGGTGCGGGCTGAGGCTAGGTGGTTAGGGGCAATCAGGCAGGCAGGCAGAGGTGGTTAGGGGCAACCAGGCCGGCAGAGGTAATAGGGGTGATCAGGCAGGCAGGCAGGCAAGCGTTTAGGAGCCAGCAGTCCCGGATTGCGAGAGGGATGTCCTGGATTGGAGAGGGTGCAGGCCAGGCTGAGGGACCCCCACCCCTCCAGTGCACGAATTTTGTGCACTGGGCCTCTAGTGACCATAATAATACCTCACAGGGTGCCGGGAGAATTAAATGAGTGCTCTGTTAGCAAAGTGCCTGGCACAAAGCAAGCATCCAGCAAGCATACTATTCACCAAACATCGGCCGCACAAACAAGAAACACTGCCTCCAACAGCCGTGAGCTCGCCATCATCACAGACACTCAAGCCTCCACTGAACAGCCACGTGGGAGAGTCACAGGGCCAGGACTGCCTGGTGCCTTTAAAAGGCTTCCGAGTGTGAGGCCATAAAGTCGCGCCAGTGGAATCGTGGGCATTGCATTCCTCCTTCCCAACATGGGAAGAGGGCTACCAGGGTGGTGGGGGCAGGAACAGAGGAGCAGGCACGAAGGAGGCAGGAGCTCTGGGAGGGGAGGCCACAGCCCCCTCTTGCTCCCCGCCCCCACCGCCCCGCTCTGTCACCCATTCACAGTGTGACCTTGAGTTACCCCCCATATGCCAAGCCTCACTTTTCCCAGCTGCACAATGATGCCATTGAACTAGGTGTTCTTGAGGCCATATCAAGTGCAATCATCAAACTCTGTGACCCTAAGAAGGGGGTGGGGGGAAGCTCTCACCACACACACCCCTGAGAGGCTCCCTCTGCATCCTTCACCCCCACTTTGCTTTGACCTGCCCCACAGGTGGCCACAAGGGTCAGGGTCACATCTACTGAGGCTCCCAGCAGAGTTCCCTCCAACAAACCCCAGCACAAGGCGCCCCGAAGCCCCAGGCGGCAGCCCCGTCGCCGCCTGGGAAGGGGAAGGGTGTCCCTGGGCCAGGGTGTCAACAACGGAGAGACCCACCCCCATGCCCAGTGAGTGCCAAAGGCTCCTCCTCCAGCTCAGAGAGAAACAGAGATGTCTAAAAACCCAAAACCTGACCTGGATTCTGTGTGGTCCGATTCCAGCCGCGGGGTCCCCACTGGCAGGGAAGGTCCCAGCTGTCTCAGCAGCTGGCAAGGCAGGAAGGCGACGCACACCAGCTCTCCCTGTGGCGCTGTGTGTACAGGTGGGTGAGTCACTCACCTGCTAGACCAGCTGAGCTAGTGTGAATAAAGATGGGGACCTGCAAGGGGGGTGCAGGCAGAAAGGCTGAGCCCTGACAGCTGCCCGCTGGCCCAGGAAGGGGCACCGGGCCTGGGCACAGGGGAGCGTTGGAAGTTCAGCCATGGACCGGGACCAGGAGAAGGTGGAAAAGCACACCCTTTGACAGTGGAAAGTTCCGGGTTTGAATCCCTGCCCCTTCCAGCTGCATGGCCTCGCCTCTCCAAGCCTGTTCCCCTCTTGTTCCACTGGAGTAGACCCAATCTGACAAGCTCTGGTGAGAAGTGCACGAGGCTGTGGGAAAAGGGCCTGGAGTCCCAGCTCCTCCCGATAGACACTAGTCGTGGCCCTGACTCTCCTGTTCAGGAAAGCAGATGGCGCACTCGGGACAGGCCTGTGTGCCTTCCTAGTGTCAGTGTCGGTGGCCCCCAGATGTTAGCCAAACATCTGCGCTGATTAAGAGCACAGGCATCTCGCTCAGGCAGCTGTGGTCAGCTGGTTTGATGTTGTCCCGTGTGCCGAAACGTTGCCAGTTCTTTTCTGGGTCAGGGCACGTGCTGGGCTGCAGGCTCGATCCCCAGGAGGGCGTGTGCAGGAGGCACCTGATTGATGTTTCTCTCTCACATTGATGTTTTTCTCTCTCTCTAAAAATCAATAAAACATTAAAAACAACAACAAGAACTGAACTTGTTTTTAAAAACTAAGAGCACAAGTATCTGGACATCAGGATCAAGTCATTTAACCTCAAACACTTACTCTGCCCTGACCGTGCGCCCCTGAGGGCCCAGGATGGGGGTCTCCGTGGTAGAGCCCCTGCCCTCCAACACCCACACACGGATGCCTGCATCTCCTACGACGCCTGGCCTGGCCTGGGTCCTGCTCGCTTTCTGCTACAGGAAACCGACCATCAGGCCAAGGTCCTGGATCAGGGGTTGGCATGCTACGAACCTCGGGCCACATCCAACCCATCGCCTGTTTTTGTAAATAAAGTTTTATGAAAACACAACCACATCCACTTGCTTTGCAGAGACAAGGGCAGAACAGAGTGATGACAGAGGCTGTAGGGTCCGCAAAAGCCAAAAGTGCTTGCTGCCTGGCCTTCCAGAGAAAGGGGGCTGGTCCCTGGCGATGACACGTGACGCCGAGGACGGCAGTGATGATGCCAGTCTCGGCCTCTGTTTCTCGCAATCTCTTAGCCACTAAACACCTCTCCATGCAGCACCTCACACAAGCCTCACCACCAGGTCTCCCCCTTTTTGCAGCGAGGGAAACTGAGGCTCCGAGAGAGAAGGAACTTACCCGCGGTCACGCTGAGAGTCTGTGGCGGTGGATATTTTGAATTAAGGGCTGATGGAAACCCAAGCCTCTGGCTCCACGAGGGACCAAGGGCTTAGCAAGCCCCGGTGGGGCTGACAGCTCCGCAGCCCGGGGCAGTCAACACGCACCTGCAGCCCATCCCCGTCCGGGAGGCTCCCGGCTGGGTCCTGGCCCCCCTGGAAGGTGGGAACAGGTGGAGGAGAAGCAGCCCCTCCACCTGCAGGAGTGACAGCGGGGCGAGCTCTCCCTTTAAGAGGGCCCGGCCCAATTGGGAGGGACACTTCCTGGTTCCGGTTCGGGAGCCTTGAAAGGAGAGCCGCTTCCACTCCCGCCTCCCAGGCCCTTGACCTCCTGGCCAGGGGGGAGGCTGCCCTCACCCCCAGGGCCCCACCCCAAAGGGCCCCTGAGGCCTGGGCCTCCACTCCCAGAGCAGCAGCACCAGGGTCATGGTGGGGCCGCAGGAGGGGCCAGAGGCAGCCGAGGTCTTTTCCCTGGGAAACCGGGGCCAGACCCTGTCTTCCCGAAGGGTATGGAGGCCTCCGGCCCTTCCTCTCCTCTCGCTGGGGGCCTTCTCTTGCCCCTTCTCTCCCTGCCCTCAAGGCCAGGAGGCAGGGGAGGGGCTGAGTATTGAGGAGGAGCCAAGAGTCCAGGAAAAAGTGAATAAACCCACCGCCATGTCTTTCCCCCCCACTGTTGGGCACTCTTGGGAGCACGTGGGCCCTGCCCTCCCCGCCCCACTGCCCCCAACGCACATGGCCCCGGCCTTTCCCTCTCCTGGGCGCCACAGCCCTCCTTTTGCTTCTGTAACTCGTTTTCTGAGTCCACGCAGCCCAACCGGCTCACTTCTGCTGCCTCTGCGACTTTCCAAAGCAACGTTCTCTTACCATTTAAGCCAGCGGTTCTCAACCTGTGGGTCGCGACCCCTTTGGCGGTCGAACGACCCTTTCACAGGGGTCGCCTAAGACCATCCTGCATATCAGATATTTACATGACGATTCATCACAGTAGCAACATTTCAGTTATGAAGTAGCAATGAAAATAATGTTATGGTTGGGTCACAACATGAGGAACTGTATTTAAAGGGTTGAGAACCACTGATTTAAGTTCTTGGCTCTGAATTCTTTCTTTGCCGAACTCAAGAACCCAGGTCCAATTTCGCCACCAACACCACCAGTCACACACCCTACAGCACGGACGAACTTTGAAAACATTACGCTAAGTACAATCAGCCCGTCACAAGAGCCCCATGGGATCCATCTCTGTGAGGTACCTGGAGGCAAATTCTAGAGGCAGAGAGTAGAATGGTTGTCACCGGGGCCTCGCGCGGAGCTGGAGGGGGAGTTACTGTTTCACAGGGCAGAGTGTCTGTTTGGAATGATAGAAAGATTCTGAAAATGGATAGTGGTGATGGCTGCACACGCAGGGAATGTACTTAATGCCCCTGGACCGTGCACCTAGAGATGGTTTCAATAATAGATTTTATGTTACGTATATTTTACCACGATTTAAAAGAGAGACTGTGGGAATTGAGACCGGGTTTCCCAGTCCTTGCCAGCTCCTGGCATCAGATCCTCACGAGGCCAGGCAGCTCCGTGGGTGTCTGAGGCACCCCGGATCCCCAGACTATGTCCCCGGGACTCTCTACTTGCAATAAAAGGATCTCAAGGAGATATCTGGGACTATCCTTTGTGGAAGGGAGGGCATGCCCCTCTGCCCAAGGTCAGCCCCCAGAAAGGCCCGGTGCCCCAGAACCCCCCATTCCTCATTCTGATCCGTGATAGCACCACCCTGCACATTTATTTTAATAAAACTGCCTCACTCAGACCCGTAGCCCTCCTGGTGGGAAACCTAGAGGTATTTTTATGGATATCAGAGAGGAAGGGAGAAGGAAAGAGAGAGAGAGAAACATCACTGATGAGAGAGATTCATTGACTGGCTGCCTCCTGCATACCACCCCTGGGAATCGAGCCCACAACCTGGGCATGTGCCCTGACCGGGAATTGAACCTGTGACCTCCTGATTCATAGGTCAATGCTCAAGAATGTTTCCACTGAGCTCATTCGAGGCTGTGCCCCTGGCTCTGCAGATATTTCCAGAGCCATGTTCCTGGAGGAGCCTCCCGACGGGTCACTACCTCGAAGAAAGAATAGTCTCTTACACAGAAAAGCACTTATTCGGTTGGAAGCAAATCGCAAATCGGGGAAGGAATCTAAGTGGGTCACGCCCTGTTGTGCGGACTCCTCATTGAATGGGGAGAAGCTGCTGACAGCCCAAGTTCCTGGAAGGGAAAGATTTGACTTTCTGTTTATCAACCAAGATTATAGGATCATCCAGGAACTGGATGACATACTTTATGTAAATGATTTCACTGAATCTCCCAAACAGAGAGGCACATCTTAATACGCCCATTTGAAAGATGAGGAAACCGAGACCCAGAAAACTTAGGTAACTTGAGGAAACTCACACAGCAAGAAAGTGGGAGAACTGTCATTTGAATCTAGGTCTTGTCGAAGTAAGAAACAGTCAATCCTATACAAAAAAGTTTTTACGACTTTAGTTGAGTCAAACAGATGACAATTGCCGGAAGCAAAATCTCAAGCTCTGAGAAGGGCAGTTTTACAGTTTATTTTATGCATAATAATCAAAGGGCCCGGAAGGAGGGTGACATGAAATTCACTAGTGGTGAGGAGGAAACTCGTCTTGCAAGGCATGTCAGGCCATAAAAACTGTGAACAATGCACTGCCCTGGGAGGGGGAGGGCGAAGGTCATTATCGCTGGCCCCAGGACAGATAATCAGATATGGCCTGGGGACCCCCAACACCTGGGGGCCTACCTATAAGCCCACAAAAGGGGGCGGAACCATATCTGCAAGACAAAGACCCCAGAAGGTTATAAAAAGTGAAGCCCTCTGTGTGTTACTCACTCTGATTTGGAAATTATCCCTGGAGTCCACTAGTCACTAGTGTTAATAAACGGGGTCCCTCCCTTTCTCTAGAAAGCGTGCGTGGGATTTCTTCCGTCTTCTGCAACAGTGGTAGATAAGGGAGGTGGGAGAAAGCAAAGGGGGGCGGAAATCCCTGGGATTGGATGAAGAGTAAAATGGAGAGATACAGGCTTCTTTTACCTTGGCGGGTGCAGGATAGTTAATAATTAACATTTACCACACATGGAGATGGTATTTGGGCAACAAGATAGCAATGAGGGGGTCTGTGGTCTCCTGCCCTGGTTCAGGGGTTGTGCCTGAGGGGTCTGGGAAAGGGGATTCCTCTGACATTTCAAAGGTCTGTTATCCTAGATGCAAGAAGACCATAGGCAGACTCAGTTAAGGCAAAGACTGACCTTTGTCAAGGAAGACACCGGACTAGACTTGACGACCCGCCACGACCCTCTGTAGTTAGGAAGCTATCATTTCCGACCATCCTTTGTGGTTACTTTAGGTCTCTGAGTGTGTGGGGCCTCCATGCAGCCCTCCCCTGAGCTTGTCAGGTGTAGTATGTGGCCCCTTTCTCACCCACAGTCCTTTCCATTCCAGGGCCCAGGCGCTTGTCCACAGGGAGGACAGGACTGGGGCAGCCCATGGCAAATGGTACTGGAAGCAAGGAGGCCAGATTCTGAGCTTGGGGGCCTCTGATTGGCTCCCAAACTCCTACGCCACCTGCCTACAGCGTTGAGAGTATGAACAGTGCTGGTTGATGTGGCTGCAGAGCTGGGGCTCCTCCCCCCAACCCATCATCGTCACCCAGCATTTGCACCCCAGGTTGGGGCCAGCGGTCCTTCCCCAGATGGGCCTGCCGGTGCATCTTGGAGATAGAGACCGTTTGGTCCCGTTGCTTTGAGACAAGCTTCTGGGCTAGACCTTGACAATAGCAACGGCCAGCCTCAGCCTCACAGCACTCCCATCCCCTCTCCCAGCCCAGGTGGGAAGCCTGAATCCCGGGTGTGGGGGCATCGCCCACCAGCCACTCCTCTTCTTTTGCTTTCTCTCAGCCAGGAAGCTTAACAGCAAAACCCAGACAAGTGGTGTAGTGTGAGCCCAGCCAGTGCTGCACG